ACCTCTCCTAATAGGACATACCCATTAGCCCTGGGACTAGTCTTGTTGTAAACCTTTGCACTTTCTCGAGTTTTCCTTATGTACTTGGCGAAGTGTGGGTTCCAAACTGGTGCTGCATACTCCAATACGGGCCTAATGTACACACTGTACAGGGTCCTGAGTGACTCCTTATTTAAATGTAGTAATGCTGTTCTTAGTTTGCTAGGCGCAAATACCAGAAACAGCACCGGTCCTGCGATTGACCACTGTGGAACCCCGCTCGTCACAGACGCCCATTCTGACACCTCGGCCAGTACCATGACTCGCTGGTCTGACTGGTATTCCTGTGTGGGTTGTGTATGTGTGTGTGTGTGTGTGTGTGTGTGGTGGTGTAGTCGTGTGTGTGTGGGTGTGGTGTGTGTGTGTGTGTGTGTACTTCACCTAATTGTGGTTGCAGGGTCGATACTCAAGCTCATGGCCCTGCCTCTTCCACTGTGTGTGTGTGTGTGTGTGTGTGTATTTGTGTTTGTGTGTGTGTGTTGTGTGTACTCACCTAACTGTGGTTGCTGGGGTCGATATTCAGCTCAGGTCCTGCCTTTCACTGTGGTGTGTGTGTTGTGTGTGTGTGTGTGTGTGTGTGTGTGTGTATATATGTGGTGTAGTGTGTGTGTGTGTGTGTGTGTGTGTGTGTGTGTGTTGTGTAGTGGTTGTGTGTATGAGTGTGTGTGTGTGTGTGTGTAGTGTGTATATGTGTTGTGTGTATGTGTGTGTGTTGTGTGTGCCTTGTGATGTGTGTGTGTGTGTGTGTATGTGTGTGTGTTTTGCCTGTGCGTGTGTGTGTTGTGTGTGCGTGTTGTGTGGTGTTGTGTAATCACCTATTTGTACTCACCTATTTGTGGTTGCAGGGTCGATTCATAGCTCCTGGCCCCGCCACTTTCATGAGGCACTAGTCCTCTCTCTTCCGGCCCCATGAGCTTTATCATACCTCGCCTTTAAATACTAGGTATGGTTCCCGCCTCCACTACTTCTCTTTCTTGGCTATTCCACGGCCTGATACTCTATGATCTGAATGAAATACTTTCTTAACATCCCTTTGATTCATCTGAGTCTCAGCTTCCAATTGTGACTCTTGATGTCTGTGTCCCATCCTCTCGGAACATCCGTCTTTGTTCCACCTTGTCTATTCCGCGCATTATTTATATGTCGTTATATGTCTTCCATGAACTCCTGGTCCTCCAGTGTCGTCAGGCGATTTCCTTCACCTTTCTTCGTAGGACAATCCCCGTAGCTCGGGACTAGTCTTGGTGCAAATCTTTGCACCTTCTCTATTTTCTTAACGTGCTTGACTAGGTGTGGATTCAAACTGGTGCTGATACTCAGTATGGGCCTGACGTAAATGGGATACAGAGTCTTGAACGAATCCATACTGAGATCAGATCGCTTTCGTTGGTGCTTGCAAGGCGCCCGTATGCTGCAGCAGTATCTGATTGACGTGCGCCTCAGGAGATATGCCAGGGTGTTTAATCACCCCCAGATCTTTTTCCTTGAGTGATGTTTGCAGTCTTTTGCTACATCTTCAATATTTTGTTTCTGCGGTCTTCTTTGCCTTCCCCAAATCTTCATGACTTTGGAATATGGCAGGGTTACTGGGACCAGGCTTGTAGCCTGTCCAGGCTCTTTGTAGCTCCTGCCTGATCCTCATCCGATTTGATTCTTCTCATTAACTTCACAACCATCTAGATATACTAGGGCACTTCTGAGTCTATAGCTGCTTTATGTTCGTTCACATTTACCAAGAACAGCACTGGTCCAAGGACTGACCTGTGGAACCGCTTGTTCTCAGGCGCCCACTCTGACACCTCGTCACGTACCTGAATGACTCGTTGCGTTGCCTCCTGTCAGGATATTCTCTGAATCCATTGCAGTGCCTTTCTGTTACGTGAGCTTTGTCCTCTGCTTTTGCAGTAAACTCTTGTGAAGAACTGTGTCGAAGGCCTTCTTTGCACGGTTCCAAAAAATGCAGTCGATCCACCCCTCTCCTCTTGTCTTATTCTGTCTCCTTAATCTTAAAAACTCTAGTAGGTTTGTTGACATGGATTTTCTTCCCAGAAAACGTGCTGGTTGTCAATTATACACTTGTTTTTTCCAGGTGCTCCACCAACTCTCCTCCTAATGATCTTCTCCTTGACCTTGATCTAGACACGTTAGTGAACGGGTCTGTTGTTTTGTCTCATGTTTGTCTCCCTTTTTTTAAAATTGGATACTACATTTGCCCTCTTCCATACCTCGGGAGTTGCCCAGTTTCAAATGATGTGTGAAGATCTTTGTAATGGGTACACACAATATCTCTGCCTCTTTAATGACCACGGAGAGATGTATGGTCCAACCGCCTTTTGAGTGTCACGTTCGCACGCAGGGGGGCCTTCTTCACTCTTCCTTCGGTATATGTATTTCAGCCAGCACTTGATGGGCTCCACCCTGTTCTGATTGTCCTGGAGTCCTATTGGTTTCCACTGTTAATACTTTTTAAACTCGTGTTGAGCTCTGACATACCTCCGGTCGTTTCATGTGAATTCCCATCCCCTTCCTCAGTTGATTACTGGTCCTTGGACTGTTGTTTTCATCCAGATGTGGCAGTAAACAGCTTCGGGGTCTGTCTTGACTTTTGAGGCTGTCTTTTCATATTGTCGCTGAGCCTCCTTCTATTGTGCATATTCGTTTATGGTCCTTCGGTAATCTCTTTATGTTCCTGAGTTCTCGGTTTCTGTACCTTTTCCATTCTATTACACCTAGTTTTTTGCCTCCCTACACTTTGGCGTGAACCCAAGGACTCGTTCTGTTCTTCCATTATTTGTTTCCTTGGGGAACAAACTCTCCTCTGCCTCCTTTGCATTTGTTGCCACTTAGTCCATCATTTCTTGTACTGGTTTTCCTTGTCAGTTCCCTTCCCACTGAATGTCTTGAAGGAAGTTCCTCATGCCTGAGTTAGTCCCCCTTTTGTAGTTTGGTTTTTCCAGCCTATTCCTGCTACTCTCTCCACTTGGAGCTCAACTATGTAGTCGATGCACTGAAACCACATGATCACTAGCTCCTAGGGGCCCTTTCATACATGATTTCCTCGTTGTCCGACAACTCAAGGTGAATACAAGGTCCAGTCTAGTGGTTCATCCTCTCCTTCTCTCTCTGGTAGTGTTCTCTGAACATGTTGATGCATGAGGTTTTCCAGACCTCATCCATCATCTTGGCTTCTCCATGTTTCGGGACCCCCATGAGGGTCAGGTTGTCCCAGTCAATCTCCTTGTGATTGAAATAAAAAAAAAAAAAAAAAAAAAAAAAAAAAACCATAACTAGTAACTTTGCTCCCCCCATGTGTGCTCTCCTTTTGGCCACCTCGGCTAGATGTGTCGGCCATTGCTTGTTTGCTTCATGTAATTTTTCTCTTGGCCTCCTGCAGTTCTGTGGTGGATTGTACATTTACTGCAATTATTCACCTGTTGTCCTCAGACTGGATGTCCTATAAGTAGCCCTTTCGCCCGATGCCATCCATTCCTTCCATTTTCTCAAAACCCACTGGCTTTTAATGAGCAGTGCAACTCGTCCTCCCCTATCCTCCCTCTGTCTTTCCTGCGGATTTGATACCCTGATGGAAAGATTGAATCTGTTTTTTATTTGGTGAGTTTTGTTTCTGTGAGTGCTATTATGTCTGGGGATGTCCCCTTTGATTTTTCGTGCCACTCCTCATACTTATTTGTTATTCCATCTGCATTTGTATACCACACCTTCAAATTCTTTTCTAAGACTGTGGTCTGGGAGGTGTTTTGGGTTGGGGAAGTGGGGAAAACCTGATAAGGAACTATGGGTGGTTGCTGTGGGGGTGGAGTTTGTAGTGTAGTGGGGGGGGGGCATTGGATGGGGCCATGGGTGTTTTGGGTTAGAGTGTTTGGTTTTCACTGGTGTTGACCTTTGTTGGGAGGCTTTTATAGGAAGTTGTGAGGGAGGCTGTATTTGATCTTCCTGTGTCTGGGATCTCTTGTCTGTCTTCTCCATCCTTCTCTTTCTCCTTTCGCCTTTGTACCCTCTCTCTCAGTTTCCGCCTTTTTCTTTTGTTCTGTCGCGGTCGAGATACACCTTCCTGTATGCCGGTTGTCCCTTAATCATGCTTTCTCCTGCAGGATCCTGTTCCGAGTCGATTCTGCCTTGAAAGTCACTTTCCTGGCCGGGTTCTTTGTTTTACAAACCCCCTATTTCTCCGAAATTTCCAGCTGGGGGCATGTCGTCTTTCCCATTGCTTTCATGATGCTTTCAATTGCTTTTTTTCCCCTTGTTTTTTTTTCTTCATATGTTTCCCCTTCAAATTCCTGGAGCCCATACACAAAGACTGACCTCACCTTTCATTCTCCCACTGCATATCCTGTGTATCCCCTCATTCAAAATTTTGGGTTTTCCCCCTTTCAGCTTTCCTTTCTTCATTTTCACTAGCTACTGTACTTGGGGTCAGTGGCCTGTCATTTTCCCTTCTCGGCTTTCCTGGGCTCTGATATGGTCTGTTAGGGCCTCCACATATAGCTTAGCTCTTTCATTTACTACAGTCTCCACTGATTGAGCTTCTACATGCAGTTGTGCTCCTTCTTTCCCTACAGTCCCCTTATTTGTGGCTGAGGTAGCAGTCTCTGTTGTCAATCCCAAAATGTTCTTTAGTTCTTTAGGCTGTTTCAGATTTTTCAGTTTCTCTTCTAAACTCTGTATCCTGGCCTCTGCTGCTTTGACTTGCGCCTCCCATTCCTGCTTTCCATTACTATCCTCTCTTCCATTCTCATGCTAAGTTCTTTTAGTTCTTTTCCCATTCATGTGTGTGTGTGTGTGTGTGTGTGTGTGTGTGTGTGTGTGTTGTGTGTGTGTGTGTGTGCATATACTCTGCTTCCCCCTCTTTCCAACATTCCACTTCCCCTGCTTCCCCTCATCCCCGAATTTATTTTTTAAAAATGTCCAAAATTATTTATACATGCATTTTCTTGCCTTAGGATGAGTGCCAGTGTATGTGTCATGAGGATGGCACTGGTCTGTGTCACCTGCCTGGCAGCCCACGTCCATCCTACCTCACAGGTGAGTCTCATCCTGTTTGAAATGTGTCTCGTAGTTCAGTAGTCGAGTATTTGTGTGATAAGTGACTCAGCAACAACTGGCTTGGAACAATCTGCTTTAAAAAGAGACAAAACAAATATATGAGTGAAAAGGCCTGGGTTTGATTAGTGCCTGAAGTACTAATTTGTCCAGGTTTGGAAAAGGCTGGACAAATACGTGGGTGGGGATGTGTGGTGTTAATAAGGAATTGCCTAGTATAGGCAGTAGGCCTATTGCATTGTTCCTCCATTCTCATATAAGGTATATAGGCGCCAAGCTTCATGACTGTGATTCAGTTCCCTCGGTTCTTATGGTTTTATGTTCTTAACTCACACTTTTCGTTAGAAGTAATTGAAGTAAATTATAAAGAATAAAAAGATAGAAAGACACAATACCGTGACCAGAACAATACACAGTTAGTGGTCCAAGTCGGACTGAAACGCCGTCATAAGTTTCTTTCTCCTGTGGGTATTTGTGTAAAGAGAAGTGCAATTTCTGGAGAAGGTAGCTCCCAGGCAGGCGCCCATGGACAAGGCACCTCCTGGATGGGCGCCCATTGACAAGACAGCTCCCAGACAGGCGCCCATTAACAAGACAGCTCCCAGACAGGGCCCATTAACAAGACAGCTCCCAGACAGGCGCCCATTAACAAGACAGCTCCCAGACAGGCGCCCATTAATAAGACTGCTCCCAGACAGGCGCCCATTAATAAGACTGCTCCCAGACAGGCGCCCATTAACAAGACAGCTCCCAGACAGGCGCCCATTAATAAGACTGCTCCCAGACAGGCGCCCATTAACAAGACTGCTCCCAGACAGGCGCCCATGGACAAGGCACCTCCCAGACAGGCACCCATTAACAAGACAGCTCCCAGACAGGTGCCCATTAACAAGACAGCTCCCAGACAGGCACCCTTGGACAAGGCACCTCCTGGGCAGGCGCCCATGGACAAGCCACCTCCCGAACAGAACATAAGAAAGGAGGAACTGTGCAGCAGGTCGACCAGCCCATAGCTGGCAGGTCCTTCTCAAACCCAAAGCCACCAAAAAATATTCGCCCAATCCATTACCAACGTTACCCAAAAAATAAGCTTAGATAACCCTCTTAACTCAGGCGCCCATATCCACAATAACTGTCTTCAGTGACAGAACTGGATGGATGATGTGATAGACCTCAAAATAGAAAGAAAACAAAAAACGATAGAATGCAGTCACTTCCAAAGCTTTTATTGAAAAACAGCATAAAAGTTCATGGTAATGCAGGCCGCTGATAAATGCTGCAGTAACTTAAAGTGAAAAAAAATCATAAATAATGAATATACCTAACCTAAACATTAACTTGGATATACTGAACGACAGAACATATTATTATATTTCTGGTATATGATACGCACAAGATGATGTATGAGAGACGTGTTTGCAACACTTGGTTACCTTTATTGTGAAGACGTTTCGCCAACAAATGGCATTTATTTCTTATTAGAAGAATTCTTAGTGGATCAGCATCTTCACGACAAAGATACTCAGGTGTTGTACATGGATCTTGTTCATCAGCAAAGATACACAGGTGTTGTACATGGATCTGTATCATCAGTAAAGATACTCAGGTGTTGTACATGGATCTTGTTCATCAGGAAAGATCACAGGTGTTGTACATGGAATCTTGTTCATCAGTAAAGATACTCAGGTGTTGTACATGGATCTTGTTCATCAGGAAAGATACACAGGTGTTGTACATGGATCTTGTTCATCAGTAAAGATACTCAGGTGTTGTACATGGATCTTGTTCATCAGGAAAGATACACAGGTGTTGTACATGGATCTTGTTCATCAGGAAAGATACATAGGTGTTGTACAGGATCTTGTTCATCAGGAAAGATTACACAGGTGTTGTACATGGATCTTGTTCATCAGTAAAAATACTCAGGTGTTGTACATGGATCTTGTTCATCAGTAAAGTTACCCAGGTGTTGAAGACACTGTCCTACCTACCTCCACCCCTCCTTCAGAGTGCAGGCACTGTCCTACCTACCTCCACCCCTCCTTCAGAGTGCAGGCACTGTCCTACCTACCTCCACCCCTCCTTCAGAGTGCAGGCACTGTCCTACCTACCTCCACCCTCCTTCAGTGTGCAGGCACTGTCCTACCTACCTCCACCCCTCCTTCAGAGTGCAGGCACTGTCCTACCTACCTCCACCCCTCTTCAGAGTGCATACACTTTCTACCTACTTCCACCTCTCCTTCAGAGTGCAGGCACTGTCCTACCTACCTCCACCACTCTTTCAGAGTGCAGGCACTGTACTCCCCACCTCCACCACTCCTTCAGAGTACAGGCACTGTGCTCCCCACCTCCAGGACTCCAAGAGTGGCTAATCGAGTTTTCTTCACTCACACTACATCACAAGATTTTTATGCAAATAATTAAATATGCAAATATGATGGACACACACACCACACACAACACACACACACACACACCCACATCATAGCAGAACATCAAAGCAAGTTACAGAAACAAAACACACGGAGACAATAACAGATGCAATCTTCCCACCAGATACCAGATCATGAGAAAGATAGAAGGGTCAGGGGGGGGAGGGTGGGGTTGCTCTGCTCGTATAAAACAGATGGAAATTCGCGAAAATGGAAGGCATATGATGAGACGGAGAAAAGAGTGACTACATAAGGCAGGAACACTTCAGTCTGGGGAACACAAAGTGGTCATTGCAGTGATTATAATCCACCACAGAACTGCAGGAGGTCAAAGAGGAATATGAATAGAGCAAACAGAGCAATGCGGACACACATGCTGAGGTTGCAAGCATAGGCACTTTCCAACAGAGCAAAGTGCAGGTTATGGGGGATTTCAACCACAGTGAGATTGACTGGGAAAACCTGGAGCCACATGGGGGTCCCCGAAACATGGATAGCCAGGATGTTTGGACGTGTGCTGGAGGAACCTCATGCACCCAACATGTTAAGGACCACTACCAAGTGGAGAGGGAGGATGAACCCAGCAAGATTGGACCCGGGCCCCTTGTGTTCACCCTGGGCAGCTCAACATTGAGGACATCAAGTATGAGAGTCCCCGTAGGAGCTAACGGACCACGTGGTTCTGTGCTTTGAAACATAGTAGAGCTGGCAGTGAAGAGAATAATCAGGAAGTTGAATGGGGAAAAAGCCTGACTATAAAAGAGTGGGACTACATAGGGTTGAGAACTTCCTGCGGGAGTCCATGGGACAGAGAAACTGGCAGGAAAAGCCAGTAAATGAAATAATGGAATATGTAACAACAAAATGCAAGGAGGCAGTGGAAAGGTTTATCCCAGGCAACAGTAAACAACGGGGAAGACCAGAACGAGCCCCTGAGATTACCCGACGGTGTAAGGAAGCAAAAACAAAGTGCCAATAAGAGAATGGAATAAGTACAGAAGGCAAGATAACACACGAAAATAAGGGAGACCCTCGCAGAGCCAGGAAATGAGTATGCATCAGGTCAGGAGGAAGGGCCCACGACAGTATGAAAACGACATAGCATCCGAAAAATCAAGAAGACCCAAAATTGTGTATAGCCACATCAGGAGGAAACAACAGTCAATGACCAGTGAATCAGATTAAAGGACAGAAGGTGGAGAACTCACAAGAATGATCAGGAGGTATGTGAGAGCTGCACAGGAATTTAAGGAAGTTTTTACAGTAAGAGCAGGAAGGGCTGTGGAAGACAGCACAGAATGGAACAACAAGAGGGAATATAACCAACAATGTTGGAATGACATACGAACAACTAGAGGAGGAGGTGAAGAAGCTCTTAAGTGACCGTTGACACCTCAAGCGATGGGACCGACAACATCTCCCCATGGTTCCTTAGAGAAGGAGCAGAGATGCAGTGCGTGCCTCATAACCACAATCTTCAACACATCCCTTGAAACTGAGCAACTACCTGAGAAATGGAAGCAGCAAAGTATCCCCATATTTAAGAAAGGAAACAGAAACAGGCTCTAAACTACATACCTGTGTCTCTGACATGTATATGTGTGCAAAGTCATGGAGAAATTATCAGGAATTTTGTCGAACACCTGGAAAGGAACAAGATAAATGAAAACCAGCATGGGTTTCATGGAAGGCAAATCTGATATCACACACCTCCTGGAGTTTTATGACAAGGGTAACAGAAGTAAGAGACGAGGAGAGGGGTGGGTAGATTGCTTTTCCCCTAGACTGCAGGAAGCCTTTTGACACAGTTCCCCCAAAGATTAAGTGCAGAAGCTGGATATCAGGCGCATGTAAAAGGGAGGCAACAGCAATGGATAGGAATACCTAGACAAGGGAGGCAGCAAACGAGTCATGGTAACTGAAGAGGTATCACATTTGGGCGCCTGTTACGAGCGCGGGGCTCCCACAGGGGTCATTCTAGGACCAGTGCTATTTTTGATATAAGAGAACGACATAAGGAAGGAATATACTCTGAAGTGTCCTCTGTTCGCAGATGGATGTGAAAGTTGATGAGAAGAATTTAAATCGGACGAGGATTGAGTGCAGACTGCAAAGAGACCTGGACAGGCTGGACATGTGGTCCAGAAACTGGCCTCTCCCGAATTCAATCCAGCCAAATGCAAAATCATGAAGATTGGGGGAGGGCAAAGAAGACTCGAGGACAGAGTATAGGCTAGGGGGACAAAGACTACAGGACCTCACTCAGGGATAAAGACCATGGGGTGACCATACACCGAGCACATCACCAAGGTACACATCAACCAAATAACTGCTGCAGCATACGGGCGCCTGGTAAACCTGGAATAGCGTTCCGATACCTAAATAAGGAATCGTTCAGAGACACTGTACACTGTTAATGTTAGGAGGCCCATACTGGAGTTAAGCAGCACCAGTCCTGGAACCCACCATACTGGTCAAGCAACGTCAAGAAGTTAGAGGAAAAGTACAAAGGTTTGCAACAAGGCTATCCCATAGCTCAAGGGAATTGTC